AAAGTTAGCGGTCTCGCTCAAGAAAAATATTCGGCTCCAGAGCAGTCCCGAGATGGGGAAAAGTGGATTAAGGTTGGCAAATGGTTGACCCATCAAATGGAGGAGACACACCCGAAATGGGCGGGGCGTACTCGAGATGGGCGGTGCTTCCCACAAATGTCGGTAACTCGGTCCCCGAGAGAGTTTAGAGATTGCAAAAAAGTCCATGGCGAAGACAAACATCTGTGGAGGGTCCGCCATATCTGAGGTGTGCTATGACCCGCCCACAGTGGGAGGGGCGTGACCTCAAACGTGAGGTGTTAGTTAAAAAAATCGTAGTTTGGTCCTAGAGCACTACAGACGACGCGGAAAAGTGGATTATGGTCCCAAGCGGTCCCCGTTTAGAAGTGCAAGATACACCGTTGTGGGCGGAGCGTGCACCGAGGTGGGCGGAGTCAGACAAAGGTCCATAAAACGGTTCCAGAACACCTCAGAAACCGGAAAAAGTGGATTAAGGTCAGCAGAGGGTCGCCGGTGAGGATTGTGGGGCACAAACATTGTGGGCGGGGCCTGCTCCGAGGTGGGCGGAGCCAGACAAAAATCTGCAAAACGGTTTCAGAGCGGTCCAGACACCGTCAACATGTAAGCAGAGATGTGCAGGACCTCAACTGTTGGATATATGGCAAGAGTTGAGTGTGTCTGTGGTGTGTTGTAACCCGCTCCCAGTGGGCGGAGCGCACGACGTACTTATTCTTACTGAGTTTTAGCGCGTATTCTGCCATACTCTTAACCACCGGTCGTCATAGGTATTAGATTCCAGTCGGCTCGGCGGCTGATGCCAGCGCTCCTCCTCCTGTGATACGGCCCAAGTTGGCCGGACGGGCACGGCTTCGCCACACATTCCTTCCCCAGCTATTCTCTCGCCTGTGCCCATACGCACTTTAGTACCACTCCATACTCAGTAATAGTCAAAATAGCAGGGATGATGTATTTGTCGAGAAGCTTTAACCATGAGTACAGAACAAAAGCCTGATATCAGTTGAGTCTAGAAATATGTGAAAGAAGGTACGCGCGGCGAAGCCGCGCCCGCCCGGCGCAGCCGGGCCGTATCAGAAGGAGGCGCGCCGGCGTCAGCCGGCGAGCCGACTGGTCAAACGATAAACGTGGAAGGGGAGCGTTCCTATTGAACACATTTGGATCAAAATACTGCGCGATATGCCGCTCCAAGATCGCGCCATCTTGCATGACCAAGAGCTTCTGCACGTCGGTCAATCACCGAATGTGTCCTCAAGATCGGAAATGGGTAATGATGAGCGACGAAATCGCCATCGCCATGATGTTTATTGACTGCACACTCGTAAAATTTTCGACAAGAATTAGAGGAGGGAGTTGGGTGATCAAAGTTCTAATTCTTCTTGTTATTTTGCAGAACGCCTGCTTATTCACGAAGGAGAAGGTTCCGTTGTTGTCTGTGTTGAAGCGGCGACGATGGGCGGACTCTTTGACTACCTAATGCCGACTCTATCGCGAAAGGAATCGGCATTTTTCTAATCTCAATTACTCTCAGCGCTGGTAAGCAATCCAGTTCCGTGAAGATTCTGTTTTTGTCACTGTTTACTCTTTCGCCCGCTTCTTATCGAAAATTAAGCCGGAAAGCCTGCTTTCTTGAAAACAAATATCACATCCGCTTTCCTATAATCCTTTGGGCCAAGACTCGCTAGGAAGATAGTTTGACTCTCTCAGCAAGGATATCATGTTTCGCTTGGGCGAGAACTTCTTGTACGCCTACTAGGCGTGCCGGTCGTGGTTTTGCGACTGCTTGAACTTTTGTGTATGCACATAACTAGAGGGCAACGGCAGTCAAAGCATCAGAAGGAGTAAAAGGCACGTGGCAAGCTAGGAAATGGCCACGGGAGCCTCCGGGGCAAGTGGGCAACCTATTATGCGTAAAATGTTAGAATCTATAAGGGTGCAGTGGTCCAAACGAGACCGTTAGAGGGGAAAAATGCAGACGAGAGCTTTAGAAGGAAACAGAAAACTATCACGATTTAGAAGATCTAATTTACAGTCGTGATCCCTCAGACTGGTCATCCGTAATTGGGTACTTCACTGGGACGCGACGGCGGCTGCAAAAGGAGTGGCGATCGAGGGTGCATGATCACCAGATTTCAGCGATTAATTTTTCTATTTTGCCTGTTATTCTGCTAACTAGAAGGAAAAGTGAGTTCATATTATTTACTCTAATTTGTGGTTTTATTGCATAT